ATGATGATGATGATGATGATGATGATGATGATGATGATGATGATGATAGAGATATATCTCTAGCAGGCAAGTTCTCTTGGCCAAAACTTTTGAAATCTGTTGCTTCTTTATGAGAAACCATTTCTTTTCATTGCTTTGCTCTTGGCTTCCGTTTTCCATTACTCAGTAGGCAAACTTCCAAAAGACAATTTCATAGGGAACTGGCCAGACTCCTCCCAAAGATGTCCTTCCCCCACCCCATTACTAACCTGGGAATTATTCTTTTTCTCAATGCTCGCTCAGCAACCCTCTCCTTTTGGTGTGTATTTAAAGTCTGGAAGGGATTCCTTTCCTGTTTTCTCAAGTTTCCCAGCTGTTTGTGCCTCCAATCTTGCACGTGGGTGTAAGGCAGCATCTGGGAACAGACAATTTGGCAAAATTCCCTGACCCTGGATTTCCCAGTTTTCATATCTGTGACTTCTTTGGAATTGCCTTGGAGAACAATAGCTTGAGAATGGCTGGATGTAAGGAAAACCAGGTGAAAAGTTGGGTTTGGGGGTTTCTAAAGGCCCACCTTGTTTTAAACAAGGGAAAACAAGGTACACAATATTTGTAAGCGTCATTTCTCAAGTCTGCTGCTTGAATGAGTGGCTTTGCAGGAATCCACTCTCTCAGTCAGTGTTGTCAATATTGTGGCATTTTTGCTTTGGATTTTCAACTTGAACCTGACAGGAAAGAGGAGGATGCCTTTCCATCAGAGCTAGCCAACCTGACCAGCAGTCCATTTCCATTTTTTGAGATAATAGCTACTCCAGAAAAATTGTCTGCATTAGCAAAAATAACTAGGTCCAGTTTACTCTATCTGACATTCAACTGTGCAACAGGATATCTATTGCAATGGAATGGGGATGCAGGTGAGGTTGTCAACCTTTGGGCAACCTTTCTCAGGATCGGGGTTTTTTTTAATGATGATTTTACTGACCTTTATATGAACAGTAGCAATTGTAGCTATAGAGCACTTACAAGTTTCAGCCTAAATTATTCAAACTGTATGCAGAAGGGGAAAAAGGAAAGCAGTAAAAGGACAGAAAGAAAAAAAAAGCGGAAGGGGGAGAAACTAAGAAGATAATTAGAAAAAAAGCAAAACCTTACTTTGTTTTGCCAAAATGATCGATTTCATTTGTGCAGTGTTTGCTTTCTGCATTATTGGAATGTCTTCTGTGGTGGGTCAACAGGAGCAAGGTGTGGCTTCCAACCACATCTCTTTTTAATGACAAAAAATATCAGTTGCATTTTTGTTCTTGGTAGAGAGTTAGGGGTGCTAGGACATTTTCATTTCTCTCTCTCTCTCTCTCTCTCTCTCTCTCTCTCTCTCTCTCTCTCTTTCTTTCTTTCTTTCTCTTTGTTTTAAAGAGGTTACATTTTCCAGAGTTGTAATGAACAATTAAGAGATAGGATTCTAGGGTTCTTGATATTTCCGGCTCTCCCTCCCTCCTTGGGCAGGTATATATTATACAAATGTTCTTGTTCAGTGAATTATTTAGTAGATGTACAGCATTTAGGCAGATCAGTTCTTGAACTTCCTTGAAATGTGTTAGCGTTAACTGACGTCTACTAATATTTTTCCAACATATTTGATATATCCTTGGCATTTCCTGCTCATTTATTATCTTCATTGTAAATGAACTACAATTATACTAAAACTGATATTTCTCTTACTTTCTCCTTTGTAGAGCATGCCTGATATTACTATCCAATATTATTGTTCAGATTCAGTTCAGCTTTCTCACTTTCCTCTTTTAGATCCTTTCCAAGTTATTTTTGGGGGGAGAATGGGGGGAGTTATTTTGGGGGGGGGTAGGGGTTCCCTTTAAATGTTTTAAACCCAGATTCCCAAGCTATATTCCTTTGCAAATTCAAGACACTCCCCCCCTCTTCCCCCAAATAACATATCTTGGCCATCTGAATGTCTCTTAGTGAAAAGAGCTATTTCTATGCTCTGAACGTAGGAAAAATGAGAGGAACCAATGGCTCATCTTTCCCCAAATAATAGGTGTAAATTATGAATATCACCACACTTTTTCCCCCTTCCCAGCTGACTTGTTTGTTACTCTAGTGGGAAAGAAAAGCTCGTGTTACTAGGCTGAGCCAAAAGCTAACAGCGTTTTAAAAGTGGAGGTACCTTTCTCGGACATGTTCCACATGAATTTCTGGCCACAGGTTTCTGCTTACAAACTTTTTCTGTAATGTTTAGATTTCAGCAAAAGGCATTAATAAGACACATGGCTGAAGATGATTAGAAATGTCAGGGTTGTTTGGTAAGAGGGTACTTGTTAATAAAATAAGGCTAAAAATATGAGCTTACTGGAAAATCTGAGCATGGAAATCCCTTCCTTGCCTGAAAGTCTCTATACACTAAAGGGGAATATTTGTAGCTCAGGGTTGAAATGGGGCTCTCTGAGCTTGCTTGTTTGCATGCAGACGTTTCATTACCCAAACTAAGTAACATCATCAATGCTAGTGCTGATGATGTTACCCAGTGGTGGGATTCAAATTATTTTACTACCGGTTCTCTGGATGTGGCTTGGTGGGCGTGGCTTGGTGGGCGTGGCAGGGGAAGGATACTGCAAAATCCGCATTCCCTCCCCACCCCACTAACCTGCTTTCCAGCTCCGTTCTCCTGTGCAGGGCAACCAAAGAAGACCCAGCCAATCAGCTGGGACTCGGGAGGCGGAGAATAGATGGGGGCGGGGCCAGTCAGAGGCAGTATTTGCCATTTCTCTGAACTACTCAAAATTTCTCTACCGGTTCTCCAAACTGGTCAGAACCTGCTGAGTACTCACCTCTGATGTTACCTAGTTTGGGTAATGAAACACCTCCAAGAAAACAAGCCAGGTCAGAGAGCCCAAAGGACCCTTCCTCTCCGTAAACTGTCAGGAAAGCGAAGTCCCTTGTTTATTAAATGTGTTTAACCATTTGGCTCCTCTTAAGGAGTCAGGATACCCCTCATGGTTCTCTTCTTGTTAATGTCATCTCCCTAAGGTGAACTGCACGGGATGGGTGGGACCTTTCCCCATCCTTGCCTAACACTGGCTTCCTCAAATTGGAAAAAGAAGGAACCGAGTTCACCAAGAGTGACATCCTCCATTCAAGGATGTAGAAGTGCTGTGGTTACAAATGAAATCTCTACCTTTCCAATTCTGGAGGGCTCCACCCACACACCTATGGTTCTCCGATGCTCACTCAGTGCATTTTTAATCTGCAGCCATGAATAATGCAATGGGATTGTGTGTTGGTTGTATGCTTAAAAATATATTTTTTTTCCAAGGAGACTTGCTATGTTAAGGTGGGAATCTTTTACTTCTGTTACCATGACACCCTGTTGCTCATAGGTACAAATCAAACGAAGAGTATGTGTATGTGCGAGGCCGTGGACGAGGGAAGTATGTATGTGAGGAGTGTGGAATTCGCTGCAAGAAACCCAGCATGCTGAAGAAACACATTCGCACGCACACAGACGTCAGGCCCTTTGTCTGCAAGTACTGTAACTTTGCTTTTAAAACCAAAGGTAAGCACCAGTCAGCTCTGAGCTCATCTTCCTAGTGCATTGGCTTGCTGGTTGACATTCCTTCTGGGGCGGCAGCAGGCAGAGGCTTAAAGCTCAGTTGGAGAAGATCTCCTAGAACCTCAAACCTGGCTGAAGTTTGGCTGAAGCATGACGCCAGAAGCAAAGCTGTCATCCGCTGGGTAACCAGGTCCCAGGGAAACCTTTGACTGGAGTATGCCTTTAGCACAGGCAGTCCTCTACTTACGACCACAACCGAGCCCAAAATTCCTGTTGATAAGTGAGACTGTTCGTTAGGCGAGTTTTGCCCCATTTTACAACCTTAATAGAATAGAATAGAATTCTTTTATTGGCCAAGTGTGATTGGACACACAAGGAATTTGTCTTTGTGCAAATGCTCTCAGTGTACATGAAAGAAAAGATACATTCATCAAGAGTCAGGAATCATAAGGTACAACACTTAATAATAATCATAGGGTACAATGAGAATAGAGTAGAGTAGAGTAGAGGTAGAATAGAATAGAATAGAACAGAACAGAACAGAACAGAACAGAACAGAACAGAACAGAACAG